TTGTGTTTTCATTGTTGTTTGCAAGATAAAGATTTGGAGTTTTGAACGTTGTTGTTGGCTTGAACGCTTTGATGCACAAGACTTAAATCTGCTGGGTGAAGAAATGCAAAGATGTACATTAAATGTTTGTAAAATTAAATGGCTGAAATATGACAGTAAATGCAAGCTAACATGTTGCTTTTGGCTGAAATTTGACATAGTTGATGCACTCTAATTTGACATAGTTGATGCTAATTTGACAGATTTAAGTTCTTCCATGAAAATAGCTCATCCTATCTTAGATTGTCATTTTTTTCTACTGCTGTTTTGGACTGTTATGGTTTTTTTTCTACAGGTTGGTAGATTGCTTACTCTTTCATTAACAAAAGGAAAAAAATGAATACAAAAGGCAAAGATAGAATTAAATTTTTTTCTGCCTATACAAGTGTATTTTTCTTTTCTTTCTATATAATAATTTTTTCTGTTTCAGATCTGTTTGTTTATTTGTTTATCTTTACTATTGGTAAGTGATGAACTCAATATAATCTCACTAGAATGTATTTCTCTTATATTATGTTTTGTTATTTTTCTCCAATAGCAATGCATTTCACTTCAATATTTTTGTTCCTTCTTATGTTTATATAGAGTACGTGAAAGTTGCATTTTATTTAACTAAATGAGTACTTCTTATGTCATATTCTTATGGTTTGATGATGTTCTTAAATTGCAATCATATACAATTTTCTTACACTGACTTTATTTTTCTTATGGTTTGATGATGTTCTTAAATTGCAATCATATACAATTTTCTTACACTGACTTTATTTGATTTAGGTATTACATTGTCTCTTATTTCTTACACTGACTTTATTTGATTTAGGTATTACATTGTCTCTTATTTTCGTCAGGTGGATGTCATACACGCCTTATATGATAGGTATTATATTTTTTTTGTTTTTTAACATTTCACTTTTATTTTACCAATTTCTTTAGAAAGTTATCAACGGTTTAAATATTGATATGACTCGCACAAAATGTTCAAATATTATTTTCCCATGTTTACATTTTTCCAAACCTTTCATTTTTTTTAAGTTTACTCATTTTTGGTACTTTTTTGACATTTCAGTTTAATTTTAAATTTTTTCTACCTTATAAATAATAAAATAACTCCCCCCATATTTCTGAATACCGTTTTTACACATTTACATTTTTCAAACTATATATGATCTTAAACTAGGGCTGTCCATAGGGAAGTTAAGGAAAACTGAGTGAAGGGAAGAGAAGGGAAAGGAAGGGAATGGAAGGGAATTCCCTTCCCCTTGGTTACACCTAGGGCTGTCCATCCGGCCCGGCCCGGCCCCGGGCCCGGTTTAATTTTTTTAAGAATTTTTTTTTATTTTTTTTAAAATTTTAACAAAACCATAAATCATAAATTATTTTAACAAAACCATAAATCATAAATTATTATAAAAAATATCATAAATGTAATTAATAACTTGAAATGAAATAACATAAATTACAAGTACAAAAAATGATAAAAATAACTTCTTTATTAATAATCGGTAAATCCTTTACAAGTATAAATTTATTTCGAAATTCGTCGCATCACAATAGATGAGTACATCCCAACTAGGTTGGCACCTACTCACCCATATCACTATCATTTGCAACTTTTTTCGAAATAATTTAATTCAAATTTAAAGCTAAGAAATAAAAATTACAATTTTATGAATATTATCTAATCATTATATCTATCTGCTAGTCCCAACTCTTCAAATTTATCTTCAATCATAGCAATCCGTTCGATGCCTTGTGTTCGCTTCTCGTATCTCCACCAATCCTGTAAGCACATCACCGCTTGTACAGTATACGGATCTAAGCATGTCCTGTGGTCGTCGATCAAACGTCCTGCTGTGCTGAAAGCGGATTCCGAGGCTACAGTCGAAACCTGCACTGATAGTAAGTCACGAACCATGGTGGAAAGTATAGGATATGAAACTGATCCATATACTTTCCACCATTGCAAAATATCTAAAGCATTTCCTTGACATCTAACTAAAGAAGCAGAAAAATATTCATCTATTTCAGAAACATCTAATCCTGATGAAGTTCCAGATCCACCAGTTAGTTCAGCTACCATTGCATACCTATCAAAACTTACACTTTTACCTCGACCTGTGCTCGAAGCTGAAGGTGCCGAAGCTGAAGACTGTTGTGTAGCTACACCATATCTAGCTGCATACTCATCATATAAGGTTTGAAAATAATTTCTAATAGCTAAATAATGAGTAGTAGCAGTAAGGGTGGATCCATCATCTAAGTCTATAATCTGTCCACCATACAATGATTGTAACAAACTTCGAAGGCCAATTTCCTTCAAGCATGGATCAATAAGAACACCAATACCAAAAATATGAGGAATAGGCCTAAAATACTTATTAAATTTACTCTCCATTTCAAAAATTATACTTCCAAAAATATCATCCATACGATATTTTGTAAAATTTTTTTGAATATTTAAAATTTGTAAAGCAGCTAAAGTAATAGTTGGATAATAACAACCAGATAATAACATAGTAGCATCATAAAAAACTTGTAACATCTCATTTAATTTACATATAACTGTCCATTCATCTTCAGTTATTCCATAAGCACTACCAGAGCTAGAACTAGAAGCATAAAAATTTATAAAATCATTTATAATTTCTTTATATTCTATTGCTACAGATAACATTGCATAGGTGGAATTCCACCTATGGTCAACATCTTTTGGAATTAGTCTAGGCTTATAATTTTTTCTTTTACAACATTGTTTCCATCTTTTAATTCTCATTTCAGAAGCATTATGCATATTAGTAACTGTTCTAACTTTTTCTATCATGGGTTTAATTTCAGAAAATGCACTTTGAACAATTAAATTTAAAATATGACAGATACATCTAACATGAAAAAGCTCACCATGACATGGCAATGACAAAGTTATTTTCAGAAAATCAACAGCTACATTATTATTACTTGCATTATCTAGTGAAAGAGTAAATATTCTTTGATCAATTTCTAGTTTCATAAGTTCTTCAACAATTAAATTTGCAACATTAATACCAGTGTGTGACTCTTCAATTGCAATAAAAGAAACAACTCTTTTAAACATTTTCCAACTTTCATCAATCCAGTGTGCTGTTATACATAAATAACCAGTTTGCACTCTAGATGACCAAATATCAGAAGTTAAAGAAAATTTGCAGTTTAAATTTTTAAAATAAGAAATTATTTTTCCCTGTTCCTCAACATAATATTTTAAAATATCACGTTGACAGGTTTGACGAGAAAATTTTGTAAATGCAGGATAAAAACCATCTCTAAATAAATCTTCAAATTCATCATCTTCTACTAATTTAAAAGGAAGGTTTTTAAGAACAATAAACCTGATTACGCATTTCCGGGCTCGGGCAGCGTCATAATTCCAACTGCCGAGGGTACCTGAAGAGGATGATTGGGAAAGCATAGACTGCCGGATATCACCTTGTAGATTTTGGCCTTTGTTGTGTTTTTCAATATGCCGTTTGAGATGGTTGGTGCCGCTCTTATGATGAGCTTTGAATATCTGGCCGCACAACGCACATTTCGCATTCTGAGAGATGATCCTACCGTGTTCATCCTTGGTGACGTCTATCTTCTCAAAAAAATTCCATACATCAGACCTCGGCCTTTTTGGAGCTCTTGGTGCCGTAGATTCGTCGCCACCAGATTCAGGATTAACACCGGTAGGATGAGGAGTTGTTGTAGGAGGACTCATCTCTGGATCGGTAGGAGTTGCATGTTGCTCTTCATAATCAGACCCAGAAGCCATTTGTTGGAAGTATTAGAAAATACAAAAGATTATAGGATAGTATATTAGTATGAGATAGTATAAGATTGTATAAGAGAGTAGTAGAGAGAGAAATAGATGAGTTTTGTTGTGAGAAAATGAATTGAAACCCCCCCTCTATTTATAGAAGCAGCCCCCTAGGTAAATGACCAAAAAACCCTCGAAAAATAGCCGTTTTTTGACCGTTTTAAGGGGCAAAACGGTCAAAAGACCAAATCTGAGCCTTTTAGCCATCATTGGCCAGCCTCGCGTGAAGGCCCGCGGCCCAGCCCGGCCCGGGCTCAGGCCGGCCCCGGGCCAGCCCGGCCCGGCCAGCCCGGCCCGGCCCGGCCCGGCGGCCCGCCGGCCCGGCCAAACGTCACATTGCTGACGTTCGGCCCGCGCCGCTGCGGCCTGCGGCAACGGTCACGTCTGTGACCCGTTTTAGGGCCGGCGCCCGCGGCCCGCGCCATTCGATGCCAGGTGCCCATTTTTGGGCACTACTTCCGGCGCCCGGGCGGGCCCGGACGCTGGGCAACTCGCCAACGGCGGACCGGCGCCCGCGCACGGACCCGGGTTTTGCTCCGGCGTTTTCGGGCTCCGCGGCCGGGTCCTGCGCACGACCGGCGCCGGCCCGGGCCGGGCCGCGACACCGGGCGGGACACCGGGCCGGGCCCGGGCTCCGGGCTTTTTGGACACCCATATCTTAAACTGATTCAAAATTTTCAAACTTTCTAATTTTCCAAACTATATATACAACTTAGATTGTATTATTTCTGACTACTTATATATTATTACTATTTTATTTTGTATGCTTTTGCTACATTAATTTTTATATATTAAACAAATCTGTGCATCCCAGGGACCTAAAACTAGTATAACATAAAACAGCTAATCTTCAATGCGGTTCACGTTGATATAGATAGCTACCAAAAGACGTTTATTATAATACATCTATTATATAGTTCCCAATATTTTAAGATATCATTTCTGCCGTTTTCGAAGCTGGTGATTATCTTTTCTCATAAAAATAATCTTTAGTCCCCTAACATTGTTGTCGGTTTTGGTGAACTTAAAAAACAATTTAAAAAAAACTGGATTCGGTCTCGGGCTTTACAATCCCAGTCAAAACCCGACCCGTTTCGAGCCCTATCTAAACCCAAGGAGCCTCTCCCCCAAAAGCCTCCTTCACCCGCCATGGCTCTCCCCCTGTCATCCTCCATCTTCCCCTCTTCGTCAACTCCATCCCTCCCTTTTACAAAAACACCCTCGAAACTTTTTCCCTTTACATTCTCCCCCCAAAACATTAATTTTCTTACACGCCGCGCTCTCCCCTCTCTAAAGGCCACGCTCGCCGTTGACTCCCCTCCCGCTGCCAACGCCGGCGGGGGAGGAACGGGGAGAGTGCTGCTGGAGGTGAAGGATCTGAGGGCTGTGGTCGCGGAGTCGAGGCAGGAGATCTTGCGTGGTGTTAATCTCACTATTAACGAGGGCGAGGTATTGAGTTTTGGATAGTTTGATTTGATTAGGTTTTTGATTTTTTTTTTGTTGAAGTAGTGGTTTTTGATGGGGTTTGATGAAATTGGATTAGGTTCATGCGATTATGGGGAAGAATGGATCAGGGAAGAGCACGTTCTCAAAGGTGGGTTTTTTTTTCTTTATGATTGATATGTGGTCTCTGTTGATATTTTTGAGTGTTTTAATTTCTTCAAGTGTGTGGATTTGATCTATTTGTGGCTTTGATTGCTAGGAGAAGTGATTAGGCTTCTCTTTTACACTAAGAGATTAGATAATAAATGTGTTTATTGGCAGGGAATTAGCTCCTAGCGGGGATAAAATGAGAGAGAATTGTTTGAGATGATTGGTCATGTGCAATGGAGTTCATTAAATGCACCAGTTGAGAGGAGTGACTGATAGGATCATAAATCTATAATTAACGGAGAAGGAAAAACTAGATATAGGTCTAAAGAGGATTTTGTTAGACGCCATTAAAAAGAATATGATAATGGTTAACTTAGTGAAGGAATTAGGCTAGGAACTGAGTGGGTAGTAGAATTCATATATTCTGACCCATAAAGTTTGGGATAAAACGCTTTGCTATTCTTGTTGTTGGTTTTTTTTTTAATTGTGAATTCTTGATAGTAAATCTATATTACCCATAGTAGGAGCTGAATCTTGTTTCAGAAAACAGGCTCACACGGGCTTTCTCTAGTGAAACATCCCAGAGTTAAGATGATTTTATACTTTAAGAATGTTTTTTTGGCTTTTGCCTAGGACCTACATGATTTAGGTAGATTCCATTAAGAACTGGACCTATAAGAGTTGTGTGTGCCAAACGATTTGGAGTCATGTACAGGGTAGAAAGATATATAGGAGGTCCTCATTGCTGATTGACAGTTTTTGGAATTAGCACTGCTGATCTGTAAATATTTTCTAAAGTTGTCTTACCAAGGGAGCCTATCTTATGAAGACTTTTGGAGCCATGTGTTATAATTATGGAACTCGGGAAATTAAAAACCATAAAGAAATGTGCGCATGTGAAAAAGAATGTTTAGAGCATGTGCACAACATACATGCGAAGAGTGTCTAGAGAGTGGCATTTACGAGAAATTGAATTTAACATCAATTGAGGGTTTTGTGTGTGCGCGCGCGCGTCTGGAGGGTTGGTTGTGGTGATTTGGAGATGTAGAATAAAGACCAAAAGGGTATGTAATCTAAAAATACAATGTAATCCTAATTGAAGGTATATCTACGACTATGATAGAAACGACAAAAAGGAGTTTGGGTTTAGGCTTTAAAGAAATTAGTAAGCTGCTAGTTCATCTGAAGAGATTGCAGTTATTAAAGTTGAATGAAAGGAAATGATTCAAACACCAATCTCTAGCTAACTGGGTTGAAACTCTTTGTTTCTTGTACATGTAGTCTGCTTTTGTCCATTCCGATGTAGGATTTGCTTCCTTGGACACAAAGTATACGTAATCTGTACAACATACTGACAGAAAATGTCGCTGAAGTTACATGTGAAGGCTTTTAAGGAACATTTCATCTCTCATTGGCTTTTCCTAAATGTCTGTGTTCAAAATTTTCAAAGGCAAGACTTCTGTTTCATTCCTACACTGCCTCACATCTTTATGGCAGTGTTGCATTGTTTTTTAGCTTACCTCATTGATCAATTTGAATATTGACGATATTTTTTCTATGACCTTTTAGATTATTATAGCTCAACACTTTGTATCTGCTGCACCTCATTTAAGGCGTCAAGTAAATCATATTATCAAGTTTACCTAGCTTTACAAAGTGTTGAATGAGGCCTTATTTATTACAGGTTCTTGTTGGGCATCCAGATTATGAAGTAACAGAAGGTACTGTTGTCTTCAAAGGTGAAAACCTGCTTGAACTGAAGCCAGAGGAGAGGTCTCATGCCGGTCTCTTCATGAGTTTTCAGACCCCAGTTGAGATACCGGGTGTGAGCAACATGGACTTTCTACTTATGGCAGCCAACGCTAAAAGGAAAAAGCATGGGCAACCAGAGCTATCTCCTCTTGAGGTGTGCATAAAGTTCTCCAATTTGACTTTCTATCCCTGTTACATTAACTAAAATTCAATTTTCTTCTCTTTTTGAAATTGTGGAATTCTGAATGCTATGTCATGCATTCCTTGGCGCCTTGCATCCAATTTTGGTTCACTGAACTCTGATTCTGCTTCAGTCATGTTCTTTATGGATACATATAAGTGTTTAATTGCTGACAGCAACACATGTTTTTGTTTCTATGGGTGCGGGAACTTTGTAATTCACAAGTTGTTTTTCTCTTCTTTTTCCTTGTTTGCATAAGGGCCATATTCTGGTCTTGCACCTAGTAGCTCCCATAATCCAAACCCACATTTTAACCAGGTCTCAGGTTCATGAGTTCCAATTATTTAACAGTACCGTGTAGTATTTTCCCAAGGAGAGTAGAATTAAGTTTAATTGATGTTATCAACTTCTCCTATTTGTGCCACATAGCATTCTTTTCTATGCATTACATCCTTCTATTGACTAAGTTGCGTAAAAACAGTAATGGGTGAAGTTGGTGTGACGAAATCATCTAAATTCTGTTTTTGAATTGAAGCATACATGTTTACTTATTGCAATTCGCATCACAAAATTCCTCTCTTTTTTTTAATTTCCTTTTGTGGCACACCCTTTAGATATCCAAGTAGAGTTCTCTTTTGCCTTTTTTCTTGATTCTGATACAGGACTTTGGTTGAGCAAAAGCCCACTTTGTTGTGATTGATCTGTCAAAAAGACTTCTAATTAACACAACAAAAGGAGAAACCCCTACTAGAGTGGACAAACACATATCCGTCCTTTATTATACCTGGCGGTGGACAAAATTTTATCTTTTTTCCTTTTTCATGTAGCCTTTCAGCATCCTGTTTGAACCAGTTTCAAGTCACAAGTCTGTCAAATTTCTCATATATAGTTGGAAGCTTCATTTCTTAATTGTTTCCCTCAGCTTAACGTGCATTATTACCTAGAAATGGCCTGCATCTAATTCATAATAGATAATCTGGAAATCGTTAATAACTTTTACTCGTCAATTTAATGTAAGAGAGATGAAGACAAGGTCAATTTGGAGTCCTTTTTACAGCACCCCCCAAACCTCCCACGCCACCCAAAAAAAACACACACACACACACACACAACCCCTACCACCACCGCCGCGAAAAACAGGGGTCTGTACATGGAGCTGCCATTGCATTACTATTGAAATCAGCAGGACACAATTAATTGTTTCTGAGACCAACAAGGGATTATACATGTATACACAAGGAAAATGGTTTTGAGAGTACAATACGAGTTTGTAATTTGGATACAATTTATATTTCTATCCTTTATCTCATGTGTAGAATATAAAATTTTAACCTATATTATGAATCATATATTGCTTTCTTTCATTTGGTGTAAGATCATGTACTTTAGCTTGAGTTGTTTTCTTTGTGTAGTTGACTGTCAAATAATCAGCAATATACTTTCTACTTGTGCAGTTTTTTGGTTACTTAAGTCCCAAACTGCAAGCTGTGAACATGGATTCAAAGTTTTTAAACAGAAATGTAAATGAAGGGTTCAGTGGTGGTGAAAAGAAGCGTAATGAGATTTTGCAACTTGCGGTATGAATTTTGTCACTTATTGATGAGCTAAAATTCTTCTTCTAGATTATAGGAAAAGGTATTTATTTCTTACATTAGTACTCTATTAATTGCGATTTAACTTTATCAGGCATGATTGCCTTCTCGGAGAACCTGAGATAATCTTTACTAGAGTTATTTTAGAGCATCAAATGAATCTAGTCTAGAAGGTGGCATTTCAATGTTGTTTGTCTGTTCTTTGTAATCAATGGTGCTCAAATCGCTTTCCTTTGTGTCATGAGGTTTCAGGTCTGTTCGTATCAATGTAACCTGAAAAAAATTTGAGTGAACCCTTGCAAGTTACTGAGTTTCTATTTATTTGGTGAATACAAGGTTAAAAACATTGTGGACAATTGATGGGTGAATAGGAAACAGTATTAAACAGTGACAGAGTGATTTAGTTGTTACTTCAACTAGGCCTTTGTTAAAACATGGCTCAAGAACGGTTGTCCTCCAACCAAATATCTCTCCAACGGTTTCTCTTCAGAGCCACTGAGTTTTCAATTCTTCTTACTATCCTAGCTATTTAATGATGTGTTCTTATCCTTTTCTTTTTTGTCGAGGGTTTTTCTCCATGCATAGCGTCTTCAAGTCCCACACAAATGCTTGTTTGCTCATCTGATACCTAGGATTTTGGTAGTGGAACATGTGCTTAAATAATTGTTAACCACGGTCTTCCAATTAAGTGTATGTTCTCTGTTTAATAGGCTACATAAGAAGAGAGAGGTACAGGTCCAATGGAGTTTCCGTCGGGCGTAACTGTAAATTTGAACCAAGTCAATCCATGTTTCCACGACACCACCCTGAAAACAACCCTATTTGCTCCTATGAATAGTTCATGTGACCTCAATGAAGTCACGAAGAAATGGGTGCTTCTTCCTGAGTATCAAAACAATATTGTTCAACTAAGACTACTTCTCAGTGCGTATATTAATGATGTTATTTTTTAGTAAACTCAACTTCCCAGTGCTTTGATATTATTTTTGAGTAAGCTCAACTTCGCTCAAACTTAATCTCCTATGTTGTTATGCAGCTCATCCTATGAGGATTGCTGATTTTTTCAAAATCTTTTGATTAACGTTTACACTACTATCTTCAGGTTTTGGAGGCAGAATTGGCTATTTTAGATGAAATTGATTCTGGTTTAGATGTTGATGCACTTCAAGATGTTGCCAAAGCTGTGAATATGCTTTTGACACCTCACAATTCCATATTGATGATCACTCATTACCAGCGGCTGCTGGATTATATCAAGCCGAACTATGTACATATAATGGTAAGACTCGGAATTGAAGGATTAAATGCTAATTTAGTTAATGCTGGGTTTCTTCTTTGTCAGAGTTACAATTATCTTCTTAACTTATATAATAGCAAAGCAGCCTGTTATACTATGATTTCCTCCATCGCCATCTGTATGCGTGCAACATATAGTTTTTTGGACCAATTTTTTCTCCATAATAATTAAAAGTAACAAATATGTTTCTGGATTTTTTTCCTGAGATTATTGTCTGCTTTGAAGTGGTTGCCGATGAAGAAGGTTACACTTTGTCTCACTAAGTACTAGTTTATGTCTGTGCTGGCAGTATTTTTGAACTACTTGTATTACGTGCTTCTACATTAGTCTAATAAGTATTCTACTGAAAAAGTAATATATCACAGTTTGTAGAATACTAAGCATATAAATTCCTATGTTTAGGAGGATGGCAACATTATAAAGACAGGCGACAGTTCACTAGCAAAACTACTTGAAAAGGAGGGCTACAAAGGCTTTTCTGAACAATAAAACAGGTAAGAAGAAACATCCTTTTCTTTAATTACTTCCTTATGTCTGTTTATTATCTATACTACTATATTTGAAAATTTGTGAGGGTAGAAAATATTTTGAAATAAAGGAGGAATGTCCTTCAAAGCTACTAAAGGCATGAGGGCAGTTTTGTCATTTCACATGAATATTAAATCCTTCACAATTCCCTATGTACCACAAGATACTTAAGCACATTCCCTCTCTAGCAAACAACACAATAAAAAAAACTTTGAAAGTAAATATTCTATTAGAAGATACAAACCTTTCAAATAAAAATTAAAAATAAAGTAAAATGATGCAATTACAATAATTAAACCTAGGAATCTCAGAATTTCAAGAGGAAATTTTGTATAAAATCAAACTAAAGATTTTTCCTAATCATGGTATAGTTCTTAGGATAGAATACGATGGTGAACAACAAGTAATGAAGTATCTGTTTAGTTAATAAATAAATCTTTGAAAATTAGAACTTTTAAAAACTTAAAATGATGGACTAGAAGTATAAAATTAAAGAAATGACATTAACATTTATAATAAATTAAAATATATATAATTTATGTTATTTTAAAAATCAAGATTATATCTATACGTTTCTTCTTTTTTAATATAAAACTTTTGAAATATTTTTAATATCCAGCGTGTGCGTTTGCACATGCAAAGCTTCTAGTCTCCAATTAAAAGATTGAAATTTCTTTTTCATCCCATGCATAATATATATGATATGATTTCTCATGACGCATTATTCTAATTTGCAGACTTCAGAAAATGCATTGAGGGAGCAAGCACATTCTAGAGGGAAAGCATCAGCTCCTTGTCAACCATTAACAGGTTAAAGTAAAGATTTTTGGAGTTTGCCTGTTTTCTTTCCCTGGCTGCTCGCTGAATCTGGATGGTAATATGTGGGAGATTTTCTGTTGTATATCCTGTAACATCACCTCTGATCTTGTTGCACTTTGCTAGGCATCAATTTTTTGCCTATGCTTTGTTGATAGAGAGTTAGATATGAGCCCACGTCGCATAGGCTGACCTTATTTTCTGAATATTTCATCATACTTCACGAAATATTCTCCGATACTTTGAAGCCAGGTTTATCTGTGCTTAACATTATTATTATTAGTGCGAAAGTGAGATAATAAAAAGTAGCAGTTGCTACTTCCCGTGCAGTTGCTTTGTGTGTTGGGTTCATATTTTCTCTCGCATAAACTTTTGGTATGTTGTAAATAGTCGAGTATCTGCTATTGGAGTACAGAAGCGTGTTACTCAGAAACTCTCTTCGAGTGAGAGATTGATAAGACACAGGTTAACTTGATTAATATGCATTTGGTTTGTTTTTTATCTGTGTTGGTCCTATTGTAGCTTCTATGGATGCTTTTTTCAAAAGCTTTCACAATTTTGGTTGACACTACTATTGAAATGTCAAAATATTGGGCAAGCCTTTGTTACCGTTAATGCTACTGGTCCTAGTTAATTAGTGTGACGAAATATGAAATGTGGAGTTGATGAGATAGTGAAGAGCTAGTTGATGAAATGGTCTTGTGTTAAAAAAGGGGACCGCTGCTTGTGTTGATGCATGAGCTGAGGTTACATTGGAGTGAAGTCCTCTCCTTCTCTCCTTTTCTTAAAAAATACATCCGACGCATACATTTGAATTGCTTAGTTCCACGTGATTTATGCCTTGAAGAAATTGTACTAGTTTGGTTACATGTGACGCATCTTCAAGGTGTGGTCAAAACAGGCCATGCTCGAAACTTCACATGTTTCGTTCTTTTCTCGACTCACGCGGACAAAAAAAGATCAATGTAAGGGTCAATTTACTTAAGAAAAAAGAGAAGGAAAAAAAAATCTTGCTTTATGTTGTGCATTTTCGTGGCAGATAACTTTTGTCATTTGTTATAAATAAATAACGATCATATAATATGCTATGTCATTTGATATGTTTGTTGGGGGATAAGGTTTCGTCCCGCCAAAGCTTTTCTGCCGTTCGAGTTAGTGATTAACAAGGGGAATTATCACAATCTAAAATGCAGAAGATGCTTGTTAGAAAGAAACGAGTTAACTTAATCTTTTATAAATTTTATAAAGAAGGAACTACTTCCCTCGCTTGAGGTTATACGACAAGTCGTGATGTGATTAGTTGTATGTTTGCGATGGATTGGCTTCATCAATCACTAGTATTTTGCGTGAACGTTAAGGCTTCGTTTTGATACTATAATGTTTTCTTATTGTGTTTTTGTAAAAAAAAAAAAAAAACAACCATGGTATTGTGTTTTTCCTTAAAGTATTTTTAAAACACCATGTTGAGTGTTTTTGGTGAATACTAGTTTGCCCAGTTTCAACATTAGTATTAAACATGTTAGTAATATATTATATATTAATTATAATAAAATATATTATAAAGAAAATGTTATAATATTTAGTTTACATTATTATAGTATTATAAATATTAAATATAATATAATATAGTATCGTATAATGTATTATAATATTATATTATACTTTAATGTGTTATATTATATTATAATTATTACATATTATTTTTAAATAATTATATATTTAATTATTTTGGTATATCAATTTGTTATTGTCGTATATTATATTATTTTTTAAATTAATATTAGTTTATTATCAATATAATATTATATCATTATTAATAACGTTAATATTATGTTATTACTAGTATATTATTAATAAATTAATATATTGTAAATATTTTGATATTATATAATATATTATAGTTTCTAATATGTTAGAGTTTATTAATAACATTTTAATAATATATTAATAATTTATGATATAAATAAATATTACTATGTTATGAACATATTATTTTTACATCAATATATGTTAGCAATAAATTATTTTAGTATTATAAATTATTTTACTTTATAATATATTATATTATTTGTTATATAATATATTAATAGATTTACTATATATATTATTATCATATTGCTATAATATTATTAGTATATTATTGTTTTATAATTAAATATGTTACTATTATATAATATGCTATAATTACTAATTTATTATAATTTATTTATTAAAAATTAGTAGTACTATAGTGATTATAATATTAAATAGTATTAAAAGAAGAATAGAATTGGTTTTTCTTTATTTCATCAAGAATCCTCCCTTATATAAGGTGTCAAATATAGGTTTTCATAAATATATGAAGAATACCTAAATTACCCTTCATCAATTACTTTAATGAAGGCACACTAATTGTGTTTTTCCTTCAACACTCCCCCTTGTGCCAAGTCAATGTATGAAATGGTGCATGAGTTGTTGCCTCGTTAAAAACCTTGCCAAGTAACAAAACCCAGTGGGAAAAATAAAACTTGGTTGAAGGGAAAAAGTGCACCACACACCTAATACAATGGATGATAATATGTGTGTGTTGAGACTCCCCCTAAAGTCTACACATCTCCCCTAATCCGTATAATTAAGGCAGTTTAGAAAATCTCTGCATCCATATGTTTCTCACATGTTTCTCAAAGATGGCCTTAGGTAATGACTTGGTACACAAATCTGCCGCATTTTCTTCAGAGCTTACTTGATTCACTTGAATCTTGAGGAAAGCATGCTATTGCTGGTTGTATAAAAACTTTGGTGATATATGCTTTGTATTATCACCTTTGATGTAACTTAGTTTCATCTTTTCAATGCAAGCTGCATTGTCTTCATAAATACAAGTGGGCTCTTCAGTAGTAGAACTCAAACCACTAGTCCCTCGAATATGTGTGATGATAGACCTTAACTATATACACTCGCGAACTGCTTTATATAGGGCAATGATCTCTGAATGGTTCGAGGAGGTAGCTATAAGAATTTGCTTGGTAGATCTTGTCACGCCTCGCTTCCCAAAATACTGGAGAATCAGAACGTGAACAAGCCCGCGACGTATTAGATTGAGGAGAATAAATAAAAATAAACATTTCTCATCAACCTAATACGCTAAGCGTCAAGAAATAAATACAAAGACACAGATTCCCGATCACAGGTAGCGAGAATATAATAAACAACTCAGAACAGAATATCCATATCACAAGTGAATATCATCCAAGACATAATATTCGGGTCAACATGCCCTTATACAAAATTGAACAACTGAAAGCTGAAGAAATATAAAATACATCATTTAACGAAAAAGAACGGAAATACTGCAAAAGTAAACTAATACCATAACTAAGAAGAGATAACTGAACTTTGACATAACTCTGTCTGTAAGGCACTCTTGCTAAGAATATCCTGGCTCTGACACATCTCCAAGCTGGACATGTCCATCCTCTAAGTCTAACGTACACCAGAGAAAACAGGTGTACGTCAGCGTGCATGACACACAACAAGACCCTACACAGGAAGATAGAAACGGTCGAATGACCAATGCAGAACATGTAATAATAATAATAGAAATATGGTATTGAAATTCTAATAATTTAAATACAATCCACCACTATAATAATATAATAATTAGAAAAATCCAAAAATCAACCAAATAACAAGATCATGCAGCTAGTCATCCTATAATCGTCCACATAACAAGGTTATACAACTAGATAGAATTAATACTTAAAAATCTACAATACGAGACGTAGTATGTAGAGCGAAATAATCCAAAAAAGGAAACTCTCATGTATATACCATATGTCTCAAATTGTAGATAATTAAATATTAATCCCAATCTATGTATGAAAAGAAATAAAATTAGTCTGTATCTCACAAGAATTCATAATCATCTAAGTAACAAGGTCATGTAACTAGCTATCCTATAACAGATCACTGGTCCACATCTCACATAGAGTCAACGCTCATATCATTGGATAACTGACTGTTCACAAATCTCCTACGTGCATCCAATTCCGCTACACGAATCGGTCAGAGGACTACACGCAATCCGATTCCAGCCTGGTCCGAACTTAAGCATGACTCAGGTGACTACATAATTTTTACTGACTAAAGTGACTACACGAATTCACTTTAGCTCAACAAACCAATCCCAGTGACTACACGAATTCACTGGTGCGAGCCTGGAAGACACATCAACAGCTACATCCGATCACATGAACCAAGACTTCCCCATCCCAACTCTTCTCACTTTTCTAAGTCAACAATCATAACCTGAACTAGATCTCTGGTCCACCTCCTAAATTCAGTCAACGCACACACACATGTCACTAAGTCTTGTTTATGACGCACAAGGCTACTAAGTCATGAACTACTAAGGATTCTCAAACACAATAAGAAATAATAAATAAAACAACCAATCATGTACAACGGTGTCATAGCATACCACGTAATTAAAATAAGAATCATGGAATCGACGATTGTTTTGCACATAAAATATCGCGGTCAACAACCATCCATCACACGTTCATAAACTAAATTAATTCAAAATAAATAATTTTTTTGCAAAATAAATTCCTTTCAAATTAGCTTTCACCATAATTATTCTAAAAATAATCTCTTAAAATAATAAATTCATAAATTCAAAATAATCTTTTTACAAGATAAATTTCCATTAATTCAAAATAGTCTATTTTCCTAAAATAAATTCTTTTAAAAATATTTATCATTCTAAAATGATTTCCTTCTACAAAATAAATTCAAAAAATTATAATTATTCTAAAATAATCCCGTTGTCAAAATAAATTTTTTAATTTATTATAATTATTCTAAAAATACTATTTATCATATAAGTACGATTTACTTAATATTATTCATCAAATCCATGTAGATAATTATTAACAGATCTAAAATACTAATAAATAATTAAAAATATAAATTCACACGTACGACAAATATAAGAATTGAAACGAAACAAAACGGGGATCGGGATCTTACCTAGGGTTGCGTCGAACGAGTCGACTATGGTTGATGCGGTGCGTCGGCGCTGAAGGTGGAGGCAGCTCTGGACTGAGGGAGAGCTGGGCGATTTGGTGGAGGGTAGGGGCGATGTGTGAGATGAGTGGAGACGTCGGTCGGCTGCGTCGTGATGGCGGAGGAGAGGAGCTTGGAGGGCGAGCAGGGAAAGGAGGAGAGTGTTAGGCGGGTGGGGTGATCGGAACGACCAAGGCGGAGAGGCTGTTAGGCTCGACCAGTGTGGGAGATGAATGGAGGACAGGGAGAGTGGTGGTGTTGAGGAGGTAGAGATTCGCGGCTGAGACGTGGGTGGAAAGGGTGCA